AAGTTACCAGATCCCAGGAAGAAGTGGCTGGCCCGGGCATACCCCTCTGCCCAATAGGGTGGGACTGCTGCAGCCTGTGGGGTGAGCAGGACGCTGCAACAAGCAGGGTTAGGGTGCTGTAGATGTGTTTTTGCAGGAGGTAGGTGGAGGCTGGCTGAGATGGGAGCCAGAATACCCACTTGGAGGAAGGGTGCATTAATCTCCTTTCAACCTATTTACAGACTCTGGAGACCTTGGAGGGCTACAGATCTTCTGAAACCTGTTCTAGATTTATGGCATCATATCTGCTTATCCTGCCACATTAGAATCTCTTAAAGTTGGGGCCATGCCTTTGAACCTGTTGCAGGACTGGTGTGTGTGTGTGGGGGGGGGGTATCTGAACACTCAGAGGTCTATGTTGATCTTGGGGTTTCCGGAGGACTGTAGTGAGGATTAGTTTGAAGAGACTGGATGAAGCTCTTAGGCATCTGGGAAGATAAAGGATCATCAGCAGGATGTTTAGGAGAGAGAACACCCAGGCATTTCTGGTGGAACTTTTATGTGATTTTGACTATGCATTGGTGCCCAGGGAAATACACGGAAAGGTTGGGTCCTGGGAAATGGTTGTGAAACCCCCTAATTCTGATGATGAATTTCTTAATAGACTGAACCACTTCTTAGAGGATGAGATGCGCACAGTGTCAGACATGAACAGGGTTCATGGGAAACATTCTAATTATTTACCTACCAAAATGGTTATACCAGCAGATTTCTGGGCCTAGGCTCAGACTCTTGGGGCAGTAATGCAGCCTTTGCTAGAACAAATGTTATACCGAGAACTAAGAGTCTTTTCTGGGAACATCATGTTAATCCCAGGTTTATTGGCCTTTGATTCCTGGCTGGAACACACCACTAACATGCTAGTGGCAGGTGCCTGAGGTGGAAAAGAGGCAGAGGCTAATGGAATGCTTGAGAGGTCCTGCTCTACAAGCAGTCAAGGTGCTCTGTGCTGACAGTGCTGCCGTTATAGTAAAGGAGTACCTGGACACCCTGCAGCAGGTATTTGGGTCCGTGGAAAACTAAAAAATTATCCAGCTGATATTTTGTAAGGCTTATTAGGAGGCAGGAGAGAAAGTTTCTAGCTTTGTGGTGCATTTGGAGAACTTGCTCCAAACAGCCCTAAAGAAAAATGCAAAAGATCATGAAGAAATGTGAATCGACCCACCTGAACATTGTTGGTGGGGTCACCCTTAAGGGGGAACTTCAAGAGAAACATAAAATTATGAAACAGTGTAGAAATCCACCTGGTTTCCTGGCCCTGGTGAAGCTTTTTCGTGAGGAGGAGGAAGAGTGGAAGGCCACTAGGGGTCCAGAGAAGAGGTGCCTAGAAGGGTTGGAGTTAGTCTAAGACCATATAACATATACAGCAGGGAGAAGGCACCATTTGTTCCTGCCATTGGCAGCGTTCTTGAGACAAAGCCTCACCAGGGCTCCTGCAGCCAGAGGGGCAGAGGCCAGCACTGAAGGGGAGATATGCCAAGGGATAGTTCTCAAAGCATAAGAAAGCAGAATGATGACACATTTTGCTATAGTTGTGGGAAAGATGGCCACATCAGAGTATGCTGTTTTAACCCCTCCAACTGGTCTTTAGTGAAGCAGAGGAGACAAGCTGCAATGGAGATAGGAAATGGGGCATGGGCTTGGGAGATGAGCCATCCCAGGCCCAAGACCAAGTAGGCTCCACAGAATAAGTTAACAGTTATTCCCTTAAGCCAAGAAGAAAAAAGAGATATTTGAAGGAGGGGAAAGAGTAGCTCAGAGAAATGACAGGGGATTTTAGTGGGACACAAGGGCAATGTAACCAGGCAGAGGTCAAGTCCCCTAAGCCAGGGCCAGCTGGAGAAAACTAACAAACAGAAGTACAGTGCATTTAACTCAGTTAATGACCACATGTAAGGCCTCTAGTATGTACCAGAAAAAGAAGCCTCTGGGAACTGCTGCAGCTTTGTGGGGCAAGGATGTTACTGATGTCCCCATCAGTAAAGCAGAGGCAGAAGATAGGGAGGCTATGGATCTGAGAAACCTAACAACTTCCTGGCCATATCTGGTATGGAGGAACCTGCCACAGGGTTGTCTTGGCCATAGGGAACCAGTGCCTAGGAGCAATTGCCCTAGAGAGGGCATCACAGGATTCAGCCTGTGTTCAAGATCATCTATACTGTTCTAGGGGAGCCCCATGAGGGCAGCATCCTTGAATTCTTGAGTGACCCCTACCTTAATTGACCACCCCCCCATCCCTGGAACCAAAGGATATGGGATGTCAGTGCCCACCGGAGGCTGTTTCCTTTTTGGCACTCTCATACGACTGTGAGAGGGAAAGACAACAGTGCCCAAGAAAAGCCCTAGGCTGGGGAACCCAGCACCATAGGGTTAGTGCCCTCAGCTGGCCTGAAAACCTAGGAGTATGCAGGGCAGATTTTGTGAGAACAGGAGGTGGAAGAGCAGCAGGAGGAGGACTTGGTGGGGAGTTGTAGTTTGCCGTGCCCTCTTTTCTCCAGAGCTGCTGGGGAATTCCAGAGAGCAAGCTGGGAGAGCCTGGTGAAAACAACTTCGCAGGCAGCTGCCAAGGTTGTCCCCAAATTCTGCAGATCTCAGAGGGTGGCCGGGCATTATTACCACCATCCATCTGCCACCCATACCAAACAAGTGGACTTTACAGAAGAGGCCATCTCAAGGGTTCTGCCAACTGCATGGCTCTCCAAAAATGGATGCCCCTCCCTCACCTTCCCTCTTCCCATTGCCATCTTGAGGCAGGTTACTGCCTGCTGTGGCACCCCCGCCCACCCTGTTAACCTCATAGTGACTCAGATGTCCAGGGAGTCCCTTTTCCCCGTGGTATGCTTGCCCCCGCCCTTTGCTCCTGTACAAAGCTGTGAGTGTGGCATCCAGAGGCCCTGACTACCTGCTCAGCTACTTCTACAGGTAATGTGAGCTTCTATGTCATCTGAGGTGATGGTACCTCATCTCCCACCTGGCGTTAGGAACTCCTGGTCTGCTTTCCTGGTGTGCAAGTAGGCCAGGCGCCTGCTGCTTGCTCTCCTGTAGTTGTGTGTGTGTGTGTTCTAACCTGATCAGGTGCTCCCAATGTTTCCAAGCCCAGTCTTGGCAGCCAGTGGGATCATGGAGGTTGACAAAGGACTGGCTGATGACTTCAACACGGGATTGTGCTATATTACACTCCTGTTATTTTGAATATTTTCCAGAGATGGTGGGGTGTTGCATGCTATGCTCAATTCCCTGTGAATGGTCTGTGCATGCTATAAGGCAGAACTACCCTGTAGTGGGTGACCCCTTGTGAGCATTCCTTAAAGCAAGTGGGCATTACCAGAGCTCACTGCCTTGACAAAAAGGCAGATCTAGGACACAAAGGACAGTATATTGTAGCAGAAGGTCCCTGTGAGGGCAGGTTCTATGGCTTCTAATGACCACTGAAAGTTTCTGTTACTTCTTTTTAATGGTTGTAGTCTGAGTTTTTCTTGAATAAATTTTATGAATGTTCTATCTATGTCCTGCTTCTGCTGGGAGTGATTTGGAGGGCAACAGTGGTGGTTGGGTTGACATTGGCATATATGTTCATGACAGAGACCATGAGACACTACAGTGGTCTCCTGGATGGGTAGGAACCAGGCTACTGATAGCCAATGGGTTTGGGGTGCAATGGCTGTCTTCCTAGAGCACTTGGCAGGAGCAGGAATAGAGACTATGTACTAAAGGGAAGATTCAGTATAGAAGGCCGGCTCCAGGGTTTGATGCCCCTATAGATGCTGTACCTAACTCAGAGCATGGTGTTTTTCAACCCACTCTGTTCAATATACCTCATGTGAGTAGGGGCCAGCTTCTGTGTCCATTAAAAGATGTTTGAGGACTGGTTGGCAGCCTTGAGTATCACAGGCAAAAGGGGGAATAAAGAACTAATTCCAGACAGCCTGCCATAGCATTCTTTCTTCCTTTCCCTTAGTGGGGTTGTGTATGTTGTAACCTCTAAGCAGATATGTGTTTATGTGCACCCGTGAGGGTCCAGTGTCTTCAGTGTGAGGCATTTGTATGCCAATGAATGTTAGAAGAGTGTGTTATTAAATGAGAGTGACTGTCATATGTATCACCACAGAGCTTATGAGCCAGTTTGTTATAATGGGTGGTTCTGACCTGATTAAACAAAGTTGGAAGGAGGTATCAGAACATAGAGCTTGCTTCCCCTTTATCCCTGGCTTCACCTTTACAGATTCATGCATCATTCTCTCATGGCCTAATATCATCTATAGTGGGTGTTCAGGAAATATTTATTAATGAGTAAGCAATTCTACCCCTTCCTTTAGTTTTACAACTCCAAGGTTACTTCCCCCAAGAAATTATCCTTAACTTACAATCCAAATTACACACCTCTTACTATCCAATTATGGTTACTATTGGCACAAGATTGTTCATCTTCATTTTCTTATTGGGGTAGGAAGGCTCTCTGATTCCATTAGAGAGGCAAGGAGATAGCCTGTGTATAGTAAATTCATACTAAAGCCACATGTCATCTTCTTGTTTTATTTGAAATAGAGATTACACTAAATAAGCAAAACAAAATAAGGAGATGCCAATTCACTCCTTCTTTGGTGTGCCAGGATTACATCAGAGATTAGGTCACAGCCTGTCATCTCAAAGTAACTTGTCTCCCAAACTTTTGGCAACCTTTGTTTCTTGGTCTCCTGAGTGCTAGGATTACAGGCATGAATCACCATGTCCAGCTTTGTTTTGTAGCAAGAATGGCTTCTGGTAAGTCACATACCTAAAATCACCAAGTAATACTTAAGTGCAAACATATACACACAAAAAACCCTTTTTAAAAAGGAAATCATAATACTGGTTTGTAGTATCTTAACTTTATTATAATTTGTATACATTAGTGTGGATTAAACAAGTATAATTAGAAACACTAAGCAATTATAAACAAGTAAAATAATGCAAAACTATCCCTCTTTATTAAGTGCAGAATTTTGAGTCTAAGACATGAAAGGGCTGTTTTGATTCAAATCAATACTAAAATTGCAAGCTGTTTTTTTAATATCGCCCATATTTCTAAATCTCCTTAAGTGGCAGAGTACAACTTTAAGGTGGGGAAACTATCATATCTTGGGCCTTTTTACTTTGCATCCCATCTATGGAGTCTGCATTATAACTCCCAAGTAATACCTCTAATCAAGGAACTGACAGTTTTTGTTTACAGATTCATTTGGCACCCATATGTTATTGCCTACCATCTGCCAAGACCCACACTAGAGATGGACTTGAGAAAGACTAGTTTATAATTAGTATGGGGATGTGGCATTCTGTACTCCTTCTCCCCTTCAGAGTACATGTAACAGATAAATATTCAAATAAATAGAATATTCTTCTCTGATTACCAGATAGGAAGAACAAGTCCACACTCAAATGTGTCTAGGGTTCAGAGTCTGAAGAAAGAGAAGAGCTATCTTATATGCAAATATAACAAACAGGCTTCCATTTTGCATCCCTAGATCTTGGGGACTGTTTTTCTATTTAAGGAGCTTTCAGTTTAATGGTGGGCCCAAAGGCACAGAGTAGAGTAGAAGCAAAGCAGCGTATTAGCAAAGCACAGGGATGAACCTGCTTCTGTTGTGCCAGACACCAGCTTTCTTTCAGTGTTTTGAGTACCTGGGAACCTAAAAATTGATGTTGGTTTGAGACAGAGTAGGACTAGAAAACAGGTCACAGATATCCCTTTGGTTAGAAGCCTCCTAACATGGTATCTTATCAAATTTAAAGCTGGGTAAAATTTTCAATATCTATTGACATACTTGACAGGAAAAACTCAGAGGAGAATGGGGGGAGATAATTTAAATCTGCTACAATATTCAATCAAAAATAATGAGTTATTTTAAAAATTGTGTGAGAAATTAAAAAATACACAAACATACACATCATGAATAGACAAACTAAACATTAGCCTATCAATGCCTATTAGCCTATCAATGCCTGTATTTTCCCTACCAGGGATCGTCGACAGTTTTGGGCTCAGCCCTCGGAAGCTTCAGAAAGTCTCATATACTGGTAGCTATACTTGTGCCCATGTCTAACATACTAGGTAGGTCATCCACACTCATTAGAAAGTGAACACGTCTTAGGGAAGTCAAAGTGGAGTTATTTAACCTGGGAGCAAGATTTCAAGATAATTGATTTGAAATATTTTCTAAAGTATAAAAGGCTACACAAAAGTAATTATAACATCAGTGAGATACAATCTTAAATGTATGTTACTTCAGAACAAGGGGGGCACAAGTACAGTGAGACCAAGAAGGATGTAAGGAAAAAGGAACCAACAATTTGGGGCAACCGGAGAGCCAAATATGTCTGAGGCTTGTCAGCTTCTGTTCAGCCTGGAGAAGCCAAAAAGAAATAAGAGGTAACAATGAGATTTAGAGTAAGCATCCAATACCTGACAGTCAGGGTCTCTTGGGGCAAGTAACTGTTGTAGTGATTGTGAGCCTAAGTCCAACACAGATGCATTTACTGGAGAGAAGGCAACCTTTGTGTAGCCAGAGAGGAAAAAATATAAATATGCTGTGCTCAGACACTTAGGACATTCCACCGGCTACTGGTCCAGAGGCTGCTTTAGTCAACATCTTAGTTATTAAGTCTAAATCTAAAGCTATGCAAACAATACTGGAGGTAGTCCAAAGGAATATGGCAGAGAGCCCGATAGTAGAATTTGAGACCTGAGATGACGTCCAGATTCTACCATATACCAACTAGGTATATGTCCAGAACCATTCCTTTTCTACATCGTTATTTCTTTGCCATAAAAATAGGCCCAGGTGTCCCAGGGTTAGAAGATTCAGCTGAGTTTCTGGATAGGAGAGGTATTTCTTTAAAGGAAAATACTATAATTCTAGCAACTTGGAAGGGGTCCCTAGGGAGGGGTTTGTGTATATCACTTAAGATCTCAAGGTAGCATAAGACACAGGACAAAGACTGGGATTCTTTGATTACATGGCTGAGAAATGTAGCAGGGTCCTGTAATAAAATTCAGGTCCAAACCAGGGGAACATTTAGTTTAATGGGGCTTATCCTATGGGCTTCCAGCACTCACCTAGAAGAGCTTCTCATAGCATTTCCCACAGTGGATGGTGTCACGGTGAATGAAGATCTGATCTAGGAGATCACCCATTGGTTTATTGCAAATCCCACACTAACAGACAAAACAAAGTGGAGGTCAGCACTCACAGCAGATGCTGTGAGGTGATGGCACATCCTGGCTTCCAACGAGATAACAAGACATTGTAAACATAGATATAAAACCTGACCTATAACACAAGATAAACACACAGTAAAACATCAAAAGTAAGCTGGTAGGGTCTTGAGGGGGGTGGCTCAGTCAGTAAAGCACTTACTGAGGATTTGATCTCCAGAATTCATATAAAAGCTGGGTGCAGAGGCACAAATCTGAAATCCCAGTTCTGGGATGGCAGACACAGGAGGATTTCTTGGACTCTGACTATTCTAGGTTAACTGTGAGACCGTGTTATTACTCTCAAATAACACAGAGAGCAACTGTGGAAGGCATCCATGTTGCTATCAGGCCTTCACACACACACACACACACACACACACACACACACACACACACATATATATATATATATATATATACCAACACACACACACACACACACACACACACACACAAAAACTTGCAGGATGATCAGCATCCTGGTTAAGGGCCACAGCTTCACAATCAACCAATGTTAAAATCGTCACTCTTATTAGCTGAGTGAGATGGACAAGTTACTGAAACTTTCCAAGCCTCCATTTTCTTCTTTATGAGACTAGGAAAGGCTGGAGGATGTGAATGTTTAAGGTCCAGAGGAAGGTACCACACAAGAGGAGGATGTCTTAGTAGCCCAGTTCTTCCCATAAACCTGTGTCCTCAGGAATGTCACTGATAGGACTTCTTAACATTGGGAGTTGAGTAAAAAGGGACCAAAAAGTGCTTTTTTTTTTTTTTCCACTGCCCGGGGCTTCTAGCTTCAAGCAGTTAAAAGTGCTGGGAAGGAGAGAACAGCCTTTAAACAACCCAAGTCCCTTTGCTCATTCTCGCCATGCATCTTTCTAATGACAATCTGGCTACTTCTACTTTTCAACTCATTTCTCCTGGTAGAGTATTCCTCAGTGTAACTCAATTATGTTTCTGTTTCCTATATAATGATCGTATCCTTTTTTTTTTTTTTTTACTGTGCATTAGATGGACTTGGAGAATGGTGTCAATACATTTAGGGGTCACTTCTAGGCATGCAGAAAATGAACAAACAATGTAAATGAATGGCTCTAACCAATGTGATCACTTTGAGGGTCAGCAAAAAGCAGCAGGGCAGTACCCAAGGAGAGGTGATTGCCCTGTTTTTCCTACACAAGGTTGGCTGGTCTCCTCAAGTTCACAAAAAAGCCTGTCAGATCTTCTGGGCCTGTCTGAAGATCTGATGCTGAAGACTGATGCTGCCCTAGGAGTCTGTACCAAACGAGCATTAAGGAATATAGGGTGATGATTGTCTGGGTAGCCAGTAAATCTCAGAAGCTTCTTGTTATGCACTCCCTGCCTATTCAGGTGAAATTTATCCTTCTCTGATCTCTGATGGCATTTACAATAAGGCTAGGGATAGCTTTGCCAGTTTTACAGGAGCAATCACAGTTTCAGATGCCTTCTCAGTTCTATTTATATGTAATGATCAGGCCTCACTTTCCTAGAGCTACTATGAGGTCTAGACACAGTTTTCCTTGTTATCAGACTCAGAAAAGAGAAAAACTCACAAAACAGATTCCAAAGTAGCTTTTCACTATTCCTTTAGTTAAAGAAATCTGCTCTCAGTAATCAATCAACTGTATCTCTCTGTGAATGATTGGATAGAAAAAAGTTTATGTAAGGTCTAAGGATACAAAAGCTTAATTTGTGAGGATCTTAGAAAATGTTTTAGGGTCTAAGGTGTTTTAAGGTGTGTAGATGCAAGTTATGAAGGTCTGAGGACCTAAAACGTTAAGTTGTGACAAGAAGGTGACTTAAGGTATACAAAAATGAAAACTGTTTCAGATTTTCTTCCCTCCATGCTGCTGTTACACCAAGACTTCAAAAGTTCAGAATTTTAACCTTAAGCAGTAGAGTTCTGATAAGCTATTAATCTAGCTCTGCTGAGCAGTGACCACACCTTATCAGAGTCACAAACCCAAGATTTTAAGTTTCCTTTGGTTGTTTTCTAAATGCAGACTTAAAAAGTGGTACTTATTGTTGCTAAAAACATCTGTCCAAACTATATACACTGTCCAAACTATATACATCCAGGCTTCTGGATAGAAGAAAGAGGTCCCACTTTCATGATCTGTATTTGTACTGAAAATCAAGATCAAGCTAGCTTTTGCCTTTCTGCTCCATGGAAGGTTTCTGTCCTCCTTGAGCTTGCCTTAAAGAGTGTTCATGCTTTTAACCCCAAATCATTTCCAAAGCTTCTACTATGACACAAAGCTGTGAATCTTACTGCGTTTTTCTACACTGTGGATTTCAGTACAGATTACAAGCAAAGGTAATGCTAATACATATACACATGTATGTATACATACACATATGTATATATGTGTATTTTAATACACAAGCATTTTAGTGTCACCTGTGTCCTAACTTGTTCTTTTTCAGTCCTTCCCACAGTAGCAAATAGTATTACATTCTTTTATCATGTGGCTTAGGTACTAAACCTTGGTATATCCTTTGAATCCTCACAACCTGCCAGCTGTGAGCAATCTAGTCACCATCTTGTCATTATTGTTGTCAAATTCCTCAGCAAGTGAGAAGTCTCTCTAGATTGATCTATGAATGAGAATTACTAGAAAGAAGTTGATTGACTGATTAGAACATCAGTGATGTGCAGACGCTGGAATATTGAAGGCCAAAAGCCTAATCACAATTTTCTTGTGTTATCTTTGGCCTACTAAATAGCAATTTTTTGCCACTTCTCATCATCTCACTAAAAGACAAGTAAAAACCCTTCTGGAATCTAACAAGTTAACAAATCCCTGTCCTCCACCAATCAAAGGCTGAGAGTGTACTTAATGTTTTCACCAGTGTATTTAAAGTGTCTTGATTTATGGAATTCTCTGTTGTGAGAAAAACAAATGAGTATTTCATACTCTACAGCTTTTATGTTTGATTAATGCAGCAATTCAGCTTACAAAAGCAAAACAAAACGGGACCCTAACTATAGGTAAGATTTCCCCTCAACTGAAGAACATTTATCATCTTTTTTTTAATTCATGATTGCTTATATTGTTAGAAAAATGCTTTTCATAATGTATTTTCAAAACTTTATAGGTACACTTTAATTTTTATTTTTTCACAATTTCTCATAATCCTGATCGAGTTAAGTGAAATTAAAATCAGAAGTAGTGAAAGAATGAAAACCATAAAATAACCAGCTACAATTTTTCAGGTCTTACTGTGAGTGCTCTCTCTCTCTCTCTCTCCTTCTCTTCATCTCTCTTTCACCTTCCTTTCCTCATTACAGCTTAGAGAATCGTGTATTTGTATTTGGCAAATGAGAATACTGAGGCACAAAAAAGTGCCTCATGTTGATTCTAGATTTAGAAAAAGGCAGAATTCCACCTAGACCACCTGTACTCTTCCTTTGTAGAACACTGTTTTAACTGGGAAGCCCTGAAGTCATCTGGGAGTCTAGGTCACAGGTGGCTATCCTCAAAGTGTCTGACTTGGGAGTTCTGGAATGGAGGTTGAGAAATTTACATTTTAGACAATTTCCCAGAATACACTGATAGTGCTGCTAAATGTCTCTAACACCGTTCACAATTATGCAGTTTAACCCACATGAAACACACAAGAAAGGGATTATTATAATTGCCATTTTATAGAAGAGGGAAACATGTTTTGTCTAGAATTATCAAGCTTCAAAACAATGGCATATAAATAAATCCAAAGATAAGCCTCTATTCATAATCCATGTGATTACTGACATGTTATAAAGTGATTTTCATCTTTTCTTGACTATATTAAGCTTATTATATCTTTGTTTTCAATGAAAGTATCAGATCTTGCATTTTCCACTCTCAATTTACAAATACAAAACAAAACAAAACAACAACAACAAAAAACAACCAGGGGTCAAAATTCACTAATAGAGCAAATCACCTGGACAAACAAAGCCTGATGTTAAAGACATCAGAGGAGAGCTGCCTACTGAGAACCATTGGCTGGCAGCTAACCTAAGTGGTAGCCCTAAATGTTGACTGCAAATACACTGAGCAAATATACTGAGATCTATCTTCATTTTTTTTTTCCATTTATCAGACTGAATGTTAAAAAGAAAGCTGTTAGGAGATGGCTGACATTGAGATTTACATATGGGTCCCCAGAATTTACATAAGTCCTCAGAATTAGCTAGAATACTCATTCTTTTAAAAAAAAATGGTACCTAATAATGGATCACATTCGTAAGCATAATATGATAATTTGGTAAATATATAGACTTTATGCTAATCAAATCAAGGGAATCATTTCCATATCCCTCTTATTTGGATCTTATTTTTTTGAGTCTATAAACTTTAAACAATTTTCTCCTAGTTTATAAAGTACATTGTGGTGAACTACAGTCACTAAGTGAGTGTAATTTTCACTATATTTGCAGGGATGGTATACCCAATATAGATAAGAGCCAGTCTTACATATTTCTCTAAGTGTAGATCTATCCTTCTTATTGTACCAAACTTAGTAATAGAAAAAAAAAATGGCAGCAGCAGTTGAGTGCTCATACTTGGTAGTCTTCAGTCACCGCAGGTTAGTGGATGTTATATTTTAGATTGGAAATATCGACTACTGGCTTAGACCAGCAAGATGTTCCTTTTCAGGAAGTTGTGGAAACCTGAAAGGTGAAGCCTCATTGGAAGAAATATGGCACTCTTATGTAGCACCTTCCTGTGTGATAAAACCATCCATTGCGAAGAGGAGTTTGTCAAGACACTGGCTATTAAAAGGGAGGTGAAACATCTGGGTGTCTAAAGAGGCAGAACCTTTCACCTAGTAGAGGAGCTCTTTAATCTCAGGAAGTGAATAGCTCAATGGCTTGTGAAGTCCCTGAAACTGACCAGACTCATTAGGTCTCTTCCTCTTCAAACAAATACAAGCTTTAAGGATTGCTT